ACTTTTGGTGCTTTGTGGGTCATGTTTCCTTAATCAGCCATATGCTCAACAACTCCAGGGTGCTGGGCACCGTCCTGGGTCCCAGTCTGGACACTGGGCCTCAGATAGGCAGCCTCTTCGCCTCTTTGGACCTTGGGGTCCTACCCTCCCTGCCGTCCAACCTGCTGCTGTCACTGTGAGAACTTCTCCGAGGGGCTGGCGGTTGGACTGTTAGAGCTCAGTATCGGGTGAGCATCTGGCAAAAGCACCCCCAAATACCCGTGCAGATGTCCTATGCTCTGCCCTTGCCTAAATCCACACCTGGAGTCATCCTTGACTCTCTCTCTCTCTTTCTGTCCACATTGTGAGAGCCATTCTCCTCTGCCTACTTCTCATCACCCATGGCCACCATCAAATCAAGGTTACCCCATTTCCTGCCTGGACAGGAGCCTCCCACTGGTCCCCCTCCTGCTCCCAACCATCCAATCACTGCAGAGCAGCAGCCAGGGTCATCTTTTAAAATCACGAACCTGTTCGTGTTACGCCCTGACTAGAAGCCTCCGGGGGATTCCTCATGTTCACAGACTAAAATCCAAACCCTCTCAACAATGGTGGCCCCCTGATGCTACCCTCCTGCCTCCACCTCTTATCTCACCAGCCACCTCCCTTGCTCTCTGTGTTCTTGCAATGCTCAGCTTCTGTGTTTCCCATGCTTCTCACTCCCTGCAGGATCTTTCCATAGGCTGTGCCTTGGCAGGAATACCACTTCCCCTATTTGGGGTCCCTTTTCCTCACCTTCATCTTGGCCCATCATCTAGCATCTATGACCTGTGCAGATAGATGCATCCTCACATATCCTCTGAATTTCACCTCAAATAAGCCCCTCCTCAAGGAAGCCCACCTTGATTCCACCACGCAGCCCCCACCGCTGGGCTCTCCCAGCAGGCTGAGGGGTTCATTGCCTTCATCACATTATAATTATTATTCTGTTACCCCCTTTAGGCTGTAAGCTCTGTGAGGGTAGGGACCGAGTCTGCATTGCTCATTCCTCTCTCACCAGTGCCACACTTGTAACAGGAACTTGCTAATTTGTAAAATTTTACAGACTCACTTTGGAATCATTTTTGAATCTGTTATGCTCCAACTACCTATGCAGCTTATATCTAGCCACTGACTATATCATCAATCTTACTCTACCCACACTTGCTGAGTGAGGCCCAGTGAGGCCAGGCAGCAAACAGCAGGATATGCAGAGAGATCCCCACGACAGGCTATGTCAGTGCTTTAAAGTGGGGCTGAGGTCAAGAGAAGGAGTGTCTTCCTGGGAGGTTAAGAAAAGCTTCAGGGTAGAGGGGCTCCTTGAATGGGGTCTTAAAGGATGCTTAGGAGTTTGCCAGGCTGGGGATGAAGCAGAGGGAAGGGCTTTGGAAGAGACCCAGAAAAATGAAATAGTGTGAACATTCTCCTAAATCTTCCTCTGCAGCTCCACTTCCAGAACTTACATCTAGACCCTCATCCCAGCACCTCTGCAAAGGCCATCTAAATAGATTTTCTGTTACAGTCTCTCTTAGCTTCTGTTCTCAATCTGCTCCACCTTTGCTCAAGAGCCTGCTGTAGCTCCCTCCTACCCTCCCCTTAAATCCAAGGTGCCTGCCATTAGATGCCTGCCTCAGCCTCTCCCCAGTTCTCACACTACTCTCCGGTCTGATCATCTCTGCTTCTGCTAAACTCAACAACCACAACCTTCCACACCCCAATGGCTCACCTATTCCTTTTCTCCACCATTGATTTGATACACCAGTTTCACCTTTGAGGTGATGCTAGGAAAAACTGTTCTTAAATTTTGAGTTTTGAATGATTTAATTGTTCACACCTAACTCACTGGTTCTTACCGCAGCAGACATGCTTGAGAATGTCTTAATAAAATTATCTTTTTTTGCATGCTGAACTCTTTCTTTTGCCTTGACATTGAACAGCCACTCTCTGGTGGCAGGCCACAACCAGGAATGGTCATACTTTTGCTTCTGGGTGCTGTTGGAGAGGTGAGGTGTTACCCACGTGTACTGGTTGCATTTGGTGCCTGCATCACGCCTCCCTAGGGGCCTCTTAAAGGCAGAGACGATGTCTTCTCCATCTATATCCCTGTTCCCACTCCAGCTTCAAGCTTAGTGCTCTGCAAAATAGTGGCCACAGTCACTGAGAATAGGCTGCCCCTGTTATGGGCCGAGATGTGACCCCTAAATTCATGTGTTGCAGACCTAACACTCAGTATCTCAGAATGGACTATATTTGGAGATAGTGTCTGCAAGAAGGTAATTACAGCAAAATGAGGTCATGAGGGTGGGTCCTAATCCAACAGACTAGTGTCCTTTTAAGAAGGCAAGATTAGGACACAGACAACACCTATTACGACGATATGAGGACCCAGGGAGAAGGCAGCCATCTAGCCAAGAAGAGGCACCTCAGAAGAAAACAAACCTGAGGACACCTTGATCTCAGACTTCTGGCCTCTACAACTGTGAGCAAATTCATTTCCATTGTCTAAGCCACCCTGTCTGGGGTATTTTGTTATGCCCATCTTAGCAAACTAATACAGCCTCCAAAAAAGCTCTCTAAGAACCACAGTTTGAGAGATGGAAGCATACTATGTGACACAGGTTTGGGTTAAAAAAAAAATGTGTTAAGAAAAAGAATACTTTCGAATGAAAAGCCCCAATATAACAATCTTTCCTATACAGCAGACTAGCAAAATATATACATACACACACATACACAGGGTGGAGTGGGGTGGGGAGAATTTCTCTCCTAATTGTGACTACTCTCTGTGATAAATAGTGAACATTCCACTGTGGGAAGAAATGCAGAAAAGCACAAAGAAGAAAATAGGTCACCTGTTACTCCCCCACACTTTGGTATCTGTTACTCTAATCTTCCTCTCTCTGCTACCTTTCTTGTTTCTTTCTACCCATTTTTTTTAACGTAGTTACATTTTGGCAAATTGCCTTTTCACTTAACACTGAAATAAGACCATTTTCTCCTACGTTATGAAAAATTCATCTCAAACCGTATTCAGTGGCTGGCCAGACTCATCCACTACCCATCTGCCTGTACCAAAATGGGCTCCCCCAACCTCCCGCTGCTGGACATTCACATTGTTTTTTGTTTTTTAACAAACATAAATAATACTATGATAAACATCCGTGTGGATAAATCTACGTACACAGGCTACTTCCTCAGGGTACGTTTCCCAGAAGGGGAATTACTGGTTACTTACGTTCCAAAAGAGGAAACTTTTAAAAATTCTTAAAATTTTCTAGGAGCTTATGCCACTTTAGGGAATGTATCAATTTCTGACCACACATATGAAAGGCTCCCCAGAGTCTGTGTTGTAATTTTAGACATCTTAAAAAGAAAAAAAAGACAGAAAGAAAGAAAGAAAACCTCGGTTATGGGGCCATAGTCAGTGCAAGAGCAGGACATCCATCCCTGGCTTCAGTGAAGTTGCCCTTCAAGTGAGAGCCTGGTTACTTAACAAGAAAGGGGAGAGGGGGTGCTTTAATGGAGGGAACAAACCAGGTTGACCTTGTTTTCGAACAACGATGGTGATTTGCCTCTCTCGTTCACGAGCACAGCAGAACCAGAGAAGGAGGCCACGTTCACCTCTGACAGCTCCTTAATCCTTCCCCAGCGCCACTTTTCGCTTCCCCATCAAAACTTACCTGTCCCATGTCCCTTCCCCCAAGGCCCAGCTACCTGCCGGAGCTAATGTGGTCAGATAATTGCTACAATGGACGCAAGCACCCATGGGTCACTAGACCACCCCAGATAGCATTCGGGGGTGAAATAAATCAAAGTAGCATGTGCTTGATATGTACAACGGAAAACTCGAATTGCATTTAACCTTGCAATGTGGATATAACCACCACGAACCCTCAGTTAACATTTTGATGGAAGCTTTCAAAGCTTCTTCCTCATCCTCTCCCAGAGAGTGACACAGATGGTGGCGATTTGGGCAGCGTGACCAGGGGGGCGGAAGGGGGGTTGGATGCGGAAGGCTCTATCCAGTTACACACCCTGGGGCAACTGCTGATTCCATCTAGGAATGAAGGGGGCTCCACACACAGCCACCCCTGAGGAAGGATGATTTCTCTGAGATCACTGAGGGTAGCAGCCCCAGGCCATCGGTAGTGGATCAGCCTGGCTGGTCCCAGACAGTCCCCCAAACAAGGGGCTGTGTCTTCAAATGTTTATACGCAGGTGGTTTGGAGTTGGGGGGCATGATTTCCCAGGGCCATCATGGTGATAAGGCCAACAGACTAGCCTCCAGAGGCCTCACCCCAAGGACAGGGGCCAAACAAAGTACTGCCAGGGCCATAGCCAGCTTCACACAGTCACTAAGTTACCAGAAATGTCCTCGTCAGGCCCTGTACCCAGGCTGGGCCAGGGCCCTCTGTGCAGTGCTCCTCCTCCATTCCCAAATCAGACAACCTCTCAGTGTGGCTGACCCCAGCAAGAGAGTAATCAAAAAGTAATCACATGGCATTAAAAGATACTAAAGTGTGAATGACTGATACGACGGCCCTGTAACCCACACATGAGTATTGCTTTTTATCGCAAAAGAACATATATTAATCCAAGCGCACCTCTATTTTGGTAGAATATCACACTAACGTAAAGGGGCCACATCCAGGCTCTGGGGGGGACTGGGGAGCAGGGAAGTCACATTTAGGAAATAGGCCCAAACTGCAGCTACAGCTCTGCCTCTGGCTTCCCTCTTCCTCCACTGCTACCCATAGGTTTTTTGGAGTGGCTGCTGAGAGCTTAGATGCTGGGAGGAAGGTTAGGAAGGCTGGGGCGCACAGGACAAGAGGGGTACAGAGAATGAAGGTGGTATAGACACATGGTTCGCAAACCACGTATTTCTAAACCCGGCCACTGATGGTGCTGAAGTATGTGCCCAGGTGAGAGTGGGGCTTCTGAGGCCTTCCAGGTGAACCAGGGGTCTTGGCTCTCACACTCACCTCTTTCCTGGGCTGCTCTCAGTCTGCACTCCGGGTGTGGGAAACCTACAAGCAAAGGAGATTGAGATCAGAAAGGTCTGTCAGAGGGGCCTGTATTTTCCAGGTCATAAACTGGTGGCCAGATTCAGATCTGGCTGTTTAAAATTTAATATTTGAACTGATCCCAGTATTTAGAAACTGAGGGATTTCAAGCAAAAGTCCGGCTTTCTGACCCTCTGGGGACAGCTGTACCTCTGGGCCATCTGCCAGCAGGCCAGCGATGGGCTGCAGACACGAGGGCTGCCAGCTCAGGCCACAAATGCTCCCCAATCCCAACCTGTCTGGCCCCTGTGAGTGCTCAACTGTGACGTCCCTGCTGTGGGATCTGCCACCAGGACCCGCACAGCCCAGGTGTGCTCCCTCTTCAGGCCTGCCTGGGCTCCCTCCGGTGCCTTCGCTTCTCCTGCTCCAGACAGACTAGAAGTACAGAGGGAGAAATCCAGGTTGGCCCCTTGGAGAAATCAAGAATAAGAGGATGGAGCTAGGGGTGCCTGGGTGGCTCAGTCCGTTCCGCATAGACTTCGGCCCAGGTCATGATCTCATAGTCCGTGGGTTCAAGCCCCTCCTCTGGCTCTGTGCTGACAGCTCAGAACCTGGAGCCTGCTTCAGATTCTGTGTCTCCCTGTCTCTGCCCCTCCCCTGCTTGCACTCTGTCTCTGTCTCTCTCTAACATAAATAAACATTTAAAAAAAAAAAAAAGGAAGATGGCATCAGACTCCAGACACAGTTTGGGTGGGGGCGGGGGCTGCTGCCTCCTCTCCTGCATCCCTTTCTAGTGCCCTTGCTCTGCGGTTCTGGGGGGGCCGAATCAGGCACGCTCCTAAGGGTTTAAAATGGACCTTGTCACAAAAGTGTGTGCAGGAGTGGTGTGGTTTCCCTGGGGGGAGAAGAAGTGGGGATTCTGCTGCTACCACCCCCAGGGCGTGGGAAGAGGCAACGGATTCCAGACCCAGGCACAGAGAAGACCCCCGAAAGGAGTTGGCACCTGGAGTCAAGGCATGTGGCCGGCCCAAGGGGACCCTGAGGGAAACGGCTGAATATTAAATAACCTAACATCTCTCCCCTCACCCTCACTTTATATCCTGCTGGAGCTCCCCATTGGCCAAAGCCAACAGGAAGCCAGAGAGAGGAGGAAGTGCACTGATGACTACAGGTCCTCTCCCAGGGCACAGGGCAGCAGGGAGAGGGTAGAGGGTGGTCTCAAGGGGCAAGTGGCAGGTATATAGCACAGTGGCCCTGCCTTCCTGTACCCTGTTCATCCCCAGAACCCACACCCTTTAGGCCCTGAGGCAAGGATAAGCAGGTCCTACCAGGTGTCAGGAGCTCAGTGCCACCTTAACGACCCTTAGTTGGCATCTCTCTGCTCACGTGGAGTGAGCCCTGCCCCACCACGCCCCAGCACATGGAATTCAGCCCATGCCCCGAGCCCCTCTTGCAACCTCTGCCTGTTCTTTTCCACTAGGCACCCTTCAAATTCCTCTCACTGTGGAGCCAGGCTGCCCCTTCCTGGAAAGACAGCCCAGCCCAGAGTTCACAGAAATCCGGGAGCAGAGCTGCAGGGAACCCACAGGCATGAATGCTGATGCAGAACAGTCATGGAGACAAAGTGGCCACCTGAGAGCTCCTCTCCCCAAAACTTTTCTGGGAAAAACCTGAGCCGGACAAGAGGCAGCCACGTGCAGGGTTTCATGGAACCCAGAACCAGAACTGACCCAGGAAATCACTTGCTCTCATACCTGCTTTGTAGTACAGATGGAGAAATTGAGGCCAAGAAGTGGGTGGTCCTGCACAGACCACACACACAAAATGGCAGAGGCAGTGTTCTGTTCGGCCACCAGTCTATCCCTTCCCCTTGGCTTGGGATACACGAGGGCTCAGCCACGTCAGGAGACTGATGTCGGGCTGTGTTTGCTCAATAGCGATTTTACAACACTGAAGGATCCCCAGTTCGTTTATTCCTCACCCCAGCTACTGGAGGCACGTACTGTTAGAATCCACATGGTACAGATGAGGAAGTTGAGTCCCAGAGAAGTTACCTAGCATGCCTAAAACCAGCACAGCAGGTCAGTTCTGCAGCAGAGGCAACGGCATTGACAACAATGATAATGAGAGTCGGGACTTGGATGCTTTCTCTGTGCTGAGGTCCTCACACCCGTTATCCCATTAAAATTTTGTTTTTGTTGTTTTTTAAACTGGAGAGCTTCTATTAACTTTTCCTACTTAACTAAAACATGGAAGATATATCGTATATATATTTCCAGTTTTATTGAGATATAACTGACCTATGACATCGTGTAAGTTGCAACATATTGATTTGATGCACTTCTATATTGCAAAATGATTACCAGCATAGGTCTAAGTAATGCATATATGCATATATATGTATATCCTATATTGGGTCCTATAATTACCGTCTCTTTTTTTTGCGGTGAGAACATTTAAGATCTACTCTTAGCAACTCTCGAGTCTCTATGTCCCATCGTTTTAATTGGAGAAGACTAGCCATGTGGTTATTTAGATGCCTCCTGATCATTTTGTTGCATACTTTTTTCTGACCCTCTGTGGCATCTCCCTAATGCCTTTAGGTCATAGGAGGTAGAAAGTTCAGAATCAGCCACCTGTCACATGCAGTACCTTCTGGTGATGTTCAAGGGGCTTCCCCAGGCTCAGCTGGCCTCACCTGCTTCCCACCAAAGGCCCTGAACCCATGCACATGGTAGCAAGGTCTGGAGCTGCGGGCAGCCAATCGCGCCTCATCAGCAGTGCCCCTGTCTTCTCCAACAGAGACTGTTGAGATGAAAGATTGATGAGCAATCTGTCCCTGCTGGTGAATTTTTAATTACGGAAGAAAGGAGACCGACCCCAGCCCCTGGCCCAAACCAGAACTGCAGGGAGAGTGGTTCTTCGGTGTCAACACTGTTAAAATTTCATCTGTACTGACAACAGCTATGAACCCTGGGTCCAAGTTTTTTCTGTCCATAAACAGAGGTGAATGGCAGAGATGGAGAGTGATTGGTGGGAAAACCAGAGCTTCCCTAGCTGCCCATCATGGAAAGTTCTGGTGTGACATGAGGGGGAGTGAGAGACACGGACTCCAGACAGCCTGGGGTATGTCTGGGCACAGGGGCAGTGGGTATGGGAGCCTGAAGACCATGGCAGCTGTCAGTCTAGGACTACTGTCCTTCTAAATTGCAGGTGACCCCAATTCACACCCTGGATCCTCTTACAGTCAACGAGTTGAGACAGGGCCAAGCTTGGAGCATGGTTGCTAGGTGGGGCCTCAACTCCAGCCTTGTAGAGACAAAACAGACCAGGCTTCAGGTCACTGCCCCAGGACAGCAGCATGCCTGTGGGATTATCTACGGCTTGGTTCAGCCCAAGTCCACAAGCAGACAGGAAAGGGAAATAAGGGCCCACATTCAAGTCTCTGCATCACCATTTACTGGCCCATTTTCCTGAGTAAGTCACTTCAACCTCCGGAAGCCTCAGTCTGCTCCTCTGTAAAATGGGGATAGAAACCACTACTGTGGGGGAGGTGTGCTGGTGAAGGTAAAATGGAGGATGCAGGGAAAACACGGAGCACTGTATCTAGTACACAGGGAGTTCTTGAAAAATGCTAACCACCCCCCCCCCCCCCAGCTCTGCTCTCAAACTGCTTATAAACTATGGCTAAAACCGAAACTTGGCCAGAAAGAATGGAGTATGGGTAAAATGTTTCTTCGAAACACATGGAGTGAGAATTTCAGGGGAGGGATCATTTTTGACTCTGGGGTGGCAACCAGGGGAGGCTGCTCGGAAGAGGGGATCTGGAAAATACACTTATAAGTGCTTCCATCTTTTGTGAATTCAGCGACTAATCTCAGGTGGGAAGACTTCCCCAGCCTGAAATTCTCGCTATGCAAACTGGGCACTAATTAGGATGTATCTGGTTCTCAGTGATACTACTGTTTAGTCAATAAAGTCACAGGTCATTGGCTCCCAGAGTCCCTAGACTTTCCAGCTCATGTCCTGCCTCCCCCAGTAATCTTCCTAGGATTGCTTCAGCGCACGTGATTTCACATGCCACTAGCACCCTAGGCCAAACCACATGCCCTGAACAGCCTGCTTACAAGAGAGGAGCCCTGGATTCTAGTCCCAGATCAACCCCCTGCTCCCTGTGAGACATTAGCCAAGTGCCAGCCACTCTCTGAGCCTCAGTTTCCTTATCCGTCAATAAGGGAGTTGGACTAGAGTCGCCCAGAGGGAGCACTGGGGAGCATTAGACTTTTGAAAGGCTCCCTAAAATAGCGTCCCCTTGTTTCATACTATCACCCTCACCTTCCTTACAGATGTCACAAAGCAGGCAATACATCAAGGTTCTGTAAAGTCCTGCAACATAGAAACCAGTTTCGTTTTGCTTGACCCAGCATTTCCCAAACTAACTTTATCTGAACCTTTTCTTGAGTGATGTCTATTCACATCTCACACAGCTAGCATTCCACAGCACCCACTTTGGGAATGCTGGCCTGAAAGATCTCTCAGGGATGCCTTGGTGTTCTGCCATTCAGGGATTCAAGAAGAATCTGGAGTGTGGAATTTCACCCTCTGAGTAACTTTTCCAGGATGTCTCTGCTTCATTTCTGGCCGAGGCGTGCAGGCACCCTTCTCTAACTCCCACGGCAGGCACTGTCTAGATTTCTTGCACTGCAGTAACGGATGTGAATCTGCCATGAGCTTTTTTTTTTTTTTTTAACGTTTATTTATTTTTTTGGGACAGAGAGAGACAGAGCATGAACAGGGGAGGGGCAGAGAGAGAGGGAGACACAGAATCAGAAACAGGGTCCAGGCTCTGAGCCATCAGCCCAGAGTCCGACGCGGGGCTCGAACTCACGGACCGCGAGATTCTGACCTGGCTGAAGTCGGACGCTTAACCGACTGCGCCACCCAGGCGCCCCTGCCATGAGCTTTTGAGCGAGGAACCATCCCAGAGCTTGTTAAGCTCAGTGCCTGAAGCACACAGTGTGTGC